ACAGGTATCTCATTAGGAAATACATTCTGTTCTCCACTGAATGCGCCAAGTACAGTGCAGCTAGATTGACCATACTTTCAGCAACAGGTTGAAAATCATTGTACCTATTTCGGTGATTCTCCGGTAGTTCGTCAAGACAATAGCAGCACAAGCCGTCGTCTAGACTCACAACCTTGCCGGTATCCAAACAAACAACTTCACCGCAAGGTATATCTCTTGTGGCCTGAAACCTGTTTTTCGTTCGTATCTCGTCAAGGCAAAAAATCCAGAACGAAACCCACAACAATATGTCGACCTCTCTTAGAGTCGTGCATGGGAGTGACGCCGTCACACAATTGTGGGAAGTTCTCATTTCGTACGAATGGAGGGAAAAATTTGCTCTCCATATTCCGAAAACACGACTAGTTTATGATCTCACTGGAATTCTCCAATGTCATGTACATATACAAAATTCATCACGGTGACACTTCCGAAGCGATACATAAGGCAATAACGAACAGGAGAAATACTTTCTCAAATATTTATACATGGACACAGAGGACACAACCATTCACAAATAGTTTGAATATCAACCAGAACAACCTCGACAACCACAGTGAACACATTCAATGACTCTCTCTGCATCGAGCTTACTCTTAGGTACGCGACATATGCAGTTTGTTCCGAAGTTGGTGTCTCTCGTTTGGACGCACCTGAAGTTTTCTCAATGATCACATAACTAAGATAGATGTCAGATCCGTGAATGCAATCGCGACGTTTGACACTACCTAATAGCATATAAAAGTGAAAACGTGCAGAAGTCCTCTGAGCAACTAGAAAAAAAGGTGAATTAACACAACAATTACCTCAGACAGCAAAGATTTTCATAGCCTTGCTTTTTCCACTTAGCTATCAGTTGAGCGTCAGCGATTTTAGCAGCCAGACAAAACTCGTAGAGCTCCCGTGAAATAGCTTCTCGTTTATAAAATAAGTCATAGATATACCTCGTTCGCTGGTGATGAATTCTGAAACAAAGCAATTGAAAGCAGATAAAAAGTTGGTCGAGTTTGATTCCTTGCTATTTTGTGATACTATAACGTTATTCAAATAATATATTAGCTCTACCATAATTTCTTAATGTCCACGGCTTCTGAAAAGTGGCCTCTAACCGCTAAATGAGTTCTTCAACCCTTTTCTTGAAGTTCCACTCGTTGTTCCCCTGGGATCTCAGGCTCGTT